GCTCTAGGATGAGCTAGGAAATCCCAGCCCCATTGCTTGATCCTACTTGTGATCTTTTTCATGCAGAGCCCAGGGGTGAGCCTGTGTCTCCAGTGTCTCCCTGCCCTCTCCGACCCCTCAGAGCCGGCATCTCTGCCCACCAGCCCCTGCTTTTCCAGAGCAACAGGCTCCCCGCAATTTCTGGGCAGCTCCTGCTGGGCTGACATCGAACCTGATGGGAAGAAGAGCAGCGCCCTCTTCCTCCTGGCTTTCAGAGCTCAGAAATGCCGAGCAGCAGAGGCATTCCTGCGTGTCCTGCCTTGCTCCTCCTCGATCTCCAGATGTCAGGCTTCTGGAAAGTTAGAAAGGAGTGAGAAAACTGTGTTTGTGTAGTGTGAAGTGACTCGCCCCGGTTTAGCCTTAACAAGATCCCTCCTATATGTTTAATGACCTGAATGTAAAATTTATGGCTTGGAATGCCCCAGAAGCAGAGGAAGCCTTCAGCACACAAGCTGCCTTTTGCAGGACAGGAGAAGTGAAATCCCCTGAGGTTTGGGAAGTCTGAGTGATGTAGTTATGGTTGGCACTTTGAATATATGTGTAGACTACTTCAAAATAAATATTTGCAGTTCAACTCTAACATACATCTGGGAGGGTGAGAACTAGCATATATTAATGTTTCTTCAAATTAATAATTTTGAAAATTTTACACTGAAATACTTTTGCTGTTGCACATAATAAACAGAGGTTGGTGTGGGTACATACTGGGGAGAAAAATCACCTGCCCTCTCTAATGGGTCCATATGCATACCATTTCTTCCTGCTCTGAAGAAAACCAGCCTTTCTCATGTTTCAGCCTCTTTAAAGAAGGGAGAATAAAAGTAAGGGAGCTCTTGCAAGACTTGCCATTTTAATCTCTTGTTTTGACATGTGCAGCTTTTGTGTTGCTGAAACTCTCATTCACCTGTTGCCTCTGTGTATGAAGAGAACCAGACAGAAGAATTCAGTCTCCTGGGGGAAGCCATGCAATGTCTCATTCCTCTCCCAGCGTCATCTGTGCATCTGCTTCGTGCTTGATGCCACCAGCTCAGGCACTGCACAGAACATGCACATGGGAAGGAGGCTGGAGTTGCACTGGGGTGAATACAGAGAGGTGCCCTGGGAATCGTTGTCTCTGTGAAATGCCTGTGATGGGGCCCAGATCCCAGCCCAGGAAGTTCTTTCCCTTGGTCAGCACTGGAAACACAGAAGGTGAGTGTGGAGTTACTGGGTAAAATGGGCTACATTTCTCAGGAATCTCAACTAGACTCTACCTTTGTATGTTAGAGGATTTCTTTAGCTCTATCCATAGTCTTTGTCTTGCTACAAATGATAGTCAAGTAGCTCAGTAAATCCTTCTGGATTTTTGTTTCCGACATTTTTAGAAAAGACTGGTTTGTAGTCTCCAAATTATTCCAGTTATTTTCCTGATTCCTGATATTCCTGATACGCTAGAACTGACCCTTACTAATGCACTGATGGACAGAAAGCTTATTTTAATACATCAATTATTGTGATTTCATTTTCTTAAGCTCTTTGCGGTCCTTTCTCTGGAAATGGATTCTCTAAAATTTTCTCTTTGTGCTGAGTAAATTATTCCTGCTTCTGTTTCTGATAAATTATACCACTCTGTCCTTTCTTCAGAGTTTTCTGGGGCATCTCTGCAGTTCTTCAGGATATGGCTGCCGTCAACCACTAACAAATCACTTCTTTTTAGGGAAAGATGAGAAATCAAAGAAAAGGAGTGGAAAAAAAAAATAAAAAAGGACCGACCCACTTCCTGCGTTGCCTGCTGCTGCTTTCCTTTTCACCGGGAGAGGAGATGGAATGGGGGTGTGAACCAGAGGCTGCAGCTCCTCTTCCCTCCCGCTGATCAAGCTGCAGGCGTGACTGGGACTGAGCCAGTACAAGCCGGCTGTAAGTAGGGGTATAACCATCACAGGTAAAGCAAATTGCTTTTGAAAGGCAGGGCCGCTGTGGCATTGTCTGCCCTGGAGAGCGGCTGATAAGCTTATCAAAGTTGCGCATCCTCTCTTCCTCCTCCAAGGGGCTGCCTTCCCTGTCCCCAGCTGGGATGGCAAAGGGCAAGTTGGAAAGGCCAGGGAAAGCACCGTGTCCCTCTGTTTGCTCTTTGCGATGGATTTGGGCACTGAGGAATTTGCTGGCAAAAAAGCTCTGGGGAAGATGCCCTGGGCACGGGACAGAGCCCGTTCCAAAGCTGCGGCGGCTCTGCTGGCACCTGCCAGAGCCACCAGCCTCCGGTGTCCTGCAGCCTGTGCCTGTCCATGCTGACACCTTTCTGGAACAGCCAGCCTGTCCTGGAGGGCAGGGCCAGAGCCAGGCTGGAGGGGTTTTCTCCATCACAGCCCTGTGAAGCCTCTTTTTGACACGAATTGATTTTATATGGCGGTGTGGAGGAACATTCCGTGCTGCTCTGGAGGCAGTAAAGAGCAAGAAAAGTGGTTTTGTCACTCGAAGCTTTTATTGGGTAAGGGACAGTGGTCACGCACAGTCTTGTCTCCGGTGAGTGGATGGGAATTTTTCTGAAATGTGCCCCTATTTAGATACTTTGTATGGGAAGTGTGAGAAATACCACCAGCTAATCTGTTGCAAACAAACGATTTAACCACTTAACCAGTTTAACTCCTGGGTTTGAGCTGTCCAAACCGAGCCCCTCCTTCAATGCAGATCCTGCATAATTTGAGGAGATGGCTTACTGCTTCTTCCCTTTTTCTCAGGATTAAAAATCAAGAGAGAAATGAATCTTTTATCTCATTTGTTACTCTTGAGCATTGAGCAGATTTTCCTCAGAGCTGTTGGCACAAAGTGCATTTATAACATACAGCAGAAGTGAAATTGCAGGGCTCAGGCAAAATGCTTGTGTGCTGAATGGAAACACAGGCTGCAGCCTCGGAGCTGCAGTGTGAGGGGGCTTCTCGTGCTCCACCTGTGCTTACTCTTCTTGAAATAAGCCAGAGCTGACTGGGCATTTGTTAATACATTGGGCAGAATGCTGCTACTCCATAAAGCTTTTACACTAAAAATTGTCTCCTGGTTTCAGTGTCAGCCCTTTTGCTTCCTCCTTGCCTTCATGAGAGTGTGGATGACATCGTATATCTTGATTTAATCAGCTGGAAAAGTGCCAAATAGCTCCCAAGGTGAAAAATAAGGTGCTTTTATCCTCCTGGCCATGTGTGCTGGAGTGGAATGATGGTCCTGTCATGTAATGAGCTGAGTCAGCATAGGGAATAAAAATTATATCCCCCTTCAGACTGTCAGCCCTGTTATCCTTCTGCAGGCTGACACATTCACTGAGCTGGGCTGGCTCCTGTGTTGTGGCCTTTATGTGAGGCTGTGAAATAATGTGCTCAGGTTTTATGGTGTTCTGACTCATCATCTGATTTTTTTCCCTCCTCTCTCCCAGGTCACATGAGAAGGGGCTGAACATACATGGTCTGTCTGTGGCTGCAGGGCTCAGATGTGTAAGTTTACCCACAGAGTGTTGCTGTTCTGGCATCAGCCCTGCTCTGTACCAGCCCCACTCCCCAGGCCAGGAGCAGGAGCTGCAGGGTGCGGGTGCCTGTGGTGTCTTGGTGAGCAGAAAATGTGAGCCCAGGCTCTGCTGCTGGGGGAGAGCAAAGGAGAATCAGTGTCCCAGCTCTGGAAGGCAGAAAGTGTCCTATAAGTCTGGCTTGGCATAAATCCTGGGCTAAGCTCTGCTTTTCTTGTGCTTTGTCTAGCATAAAAAAGGTTTCTCTCAGTTTGACAAGAGCCAAACCCATGTGGAATGATCTGTAATCTGTATTGTCTCGCTGAGGCAGAGTTGCATTTTTTCTGCACCTATTCCATGCAACAAATTACTTGGAAAGCAGAGAGTTCAGGGAAGCACCTGCTGCCCTCACTCACTGTTGCAGTGAGAGAAACCCAAGTGTCCTGTGAGTCCTGCTAAGAAAATGACCTTCTGTAACTATTACATTAATCGGTTTTTATAGTATGAAGCTCTATTATGTTTGTTAATGTGTATTAGTTCATATTGAAAACTGTAATGGAAAGAGGTACAGGAATTTTACTGGAGACTTTGTTCATGCTTAAATAAAATAAGTTAAAGGATTTTTATTTCAAATAAAATAAGTTAAAGGAAGCCTAGAATGCCCATGAAGAATACAGGATACCTCTAGGCAGCCAAGGTAATGCCAGCATCCTCTAACACATCTTTCAGCTTTGTCTGGGATCAGAGGTAAGTAACTACAGCAAGACTGACTCCAGCAACATCTGGATCATTAGGCACGCAGCACAAAAGCTGCAAAACTGTAGCTGCTTTGCCAAGTTTTGCTCTGATTAACAATCAGTTGTGTTGGTGATTAGTCAAATTGTGCTGTACACGGACATTTGATGGGTACAGAAACCCTGTGCAAAACCGCATTTAAGGACACCTTTTGTGACAGTTTTCCTGGGCACTCGAGTGGACAGGGATGATCCAGATTGCTGCTGGCAATGCTGTGATGAGACCAGGGATACCCCGAGCCCGCCCCGGGCACAAGGTACCGACACTCCCCATGGCCAGCGGCACAGTCCAGGCGGGGCAGGGGGAACAGCCCCCAGGAGCACCCCCAGGGTGCTGGGCAGTGTCACCTGTCGTGACACCTCAGTTCCCCACTCAGGGCAGTCCCGGGGCTGTCCGGGAGCCTGCTGGGCAGCGCCGTGCCGGTGCTCCGGTGCTGTCTTCTGTTCCCCGGGAGGGATTTGAGAGCCCCGGAGCGCCTGTGCTAGGCTGGCTGTCGGGAGGGGCAGCGATGTGCTATCCCCTGGCAGCAGCCCGAGCTCTCCCGGCGCTGCCGATGTGCCCAGCCCCTCCGGCCGAGGCACCTGCCGGCCTCCTCACGTCACCAGGCTCCGGATATAAAGCGCAGGCGACAGAGCATCCCCGGCGCAGCTCCCCGAGACGCGCATCTTCAAGGAGAGAGCCACTCGCGGGACGAGAGATGTTTTATTCGGGGATCCTGACAGAGCCGAGTAGGAAAGAAGTGGAGATCAGGGAAGCGGCGTCTCTCCGCCAGCAGAGGAGGATGAAGCAGGCGGTTCAGTTTATTCACAAGGATTCTGCAGATCTCCTCCCTCTGGACGGGCTGAAGAAGCTGGGCACTTCGAAAGATACTGTAAGGCTCTATTGTGTTTATTGGAAGGAGACTTAAGAAGCTGGTAGGGCAGTGTCTTTCTTCACGCTGTTTTCTGTTAGGGGAAGTTGGTTGCGTGTGGAAACTGATTGTAAAAAAATGGGACTTTTTAATGTAAAAAGAAGGGAGTAGAAATAAGATGCTGGTTATAACCACAGTTGTTTCCTACTAGTAAGTACTTTTAGATACCTGGCACTCAGAGTTCATAGCATTTATTTTTTTTAATTGTTTTTTATTATTGTTTTTTTTATTTTTGCATGAAAATGGCATTCTGATTGCAGCACAAATTTCCTCTCTGGGTCAGAGTAAGTCAAAATGGCTTCATACAATGCATAGGTACACACACATGTTGGCCTGTGATCTATATATGCACACAACACATAATCACAAAGATTTGGTATAGTCACTGGTATTTCAAAATGTAAAACTGTCAAGATCATGCTTCAATAAAGGCTAATGCATGTATGGGGTTTTTAAACCAAAGAGACATAATTTTAGGTTTAAAATGTTTATGTATACAGTGATCCATGTGATCCTGTACTTGGTGTTATTCACCATGTCTGGGGGCTGGAGAGTATTTCTAAATACTGTAGAAATGTTTCAGCTTTCTCTACTGGGAAAGGATACTTCAATGTGAAATCCAAAGTTCTGACATAAGGGGTAAAATTTAGAAAACATATCTACCAGGGGAAGCTCCTTTAGTTTTTTTTTGCCCAAGTGGTGAAAAAATCTTGCACCTTGTAAAACAATACTGGCTTTTTTCCAATGCTTGATATGGGTTTTATTGAAAACCAAAGTCAATCTTTTTATTTTTAGTGGTTTGTTCTGTCAGAGCCTTCCTGCTCAGCAGGATTAGGCTTGGCTCTGCCTGCCTGAGACAAGTGGAATGAGTTGGCTGTTCTCTGCAATGCACATGGAGGTGATTTATTTTTGATATCCCAAGTGTTTTGCAAGTGTAGGAAGTGAAGCTCCTGCCCAGGGTAAGGCTCAGAAGTGGCTTTCCTGGTCACCACTGAATTGCAGCTCTCCAGCAGGGAGCTGAAGTGCTTTTCAGGGAGGGATGGCATTATTACTATTATCAGCAGAGTGTAAATGACATTTTGTGGCTCTGTGACCCCCAGTGAGCAGGACTGAATCCCTGATGTGGGTTTTGCTCTGCCCAGATTAGAATCAACAGGTAGCAGGAGCCAGGGGCACTGAGCACTGAGGTCCTTTGCCCTGCACAATGAGGACCAGGTTTTGAACCAGCACCAGGGGCAGAGCATGGGTCTCCTTGACACCACTTTGGACACAGAGATGTCACTCGAGGTGTTTTCCCTGCTCCTGCACCATGACTACAGCATCACCCCTGCTGCACCCACAGCCCCTGCAGAGACAATCTGCATGGGGGGCTCTCTCCAGGGATGTGCCAAAGCCCTGGGGAGGGCCACAGCTCCCAATCCCCTCCAAGAACCAAAAGAAGGTGCAATGTGGCAGAGATGAGGTGTCCATCTGGCTATTGTGGCTGGGTGGGTTTCTGGCTGGGGATGGGGGTAGAACCCAGCTGCTGTGGGTCACCCCGCTGCAAAATCCCCCTTGTCCCCACACCACGGTGAGGCTGATGGCACAGTGAGCACATGTGGCCAGGGCTCCCTTGGCTATAACCTCCTACCCCGTGGGGTGTGCAGGGAGTCCCCAGAGTGAGAGAACTGGCACGTGCTCAGGCCGTTCCCACAGCCCCAGAGAAGATTCCGTGGATTTCAGAGATCTGTCCGTGGGTTGTGTTGCAGTGAAGCGACGCTGCCACACTCAGCCTTCACACAACCAGGGTGGGAACGGGCATTGCTCTGAGAGGACACACTGTGTGTCCCCACTGCCCTGGCTGCCTGGATGTCACAAGGGTTGTTCCCAGGAGGAGTGGGAGATTGTGCATCCCTGAGACTGGGGACTCTCCAAAATATGGGACTTCACTTTCGCGTGGCTCCAAATTGAGAGGCACATGCCCAGAGGGACTGAGCTGCATGATCAGGATGCCCAGGGCATCAGAGGTCTTGGTCCAAGGCGTTTGCATGGACTCCTTGTGAATAATTGTGCATCTCCTCACAAAGCAGCACGTTTTTGTGCCCAAAGCCGCGTGGCAGCTGTAGTGACGTGTGTGGAGGGGCTTCTGACGTGACCGGTGTTATTAACGCAGGGTTTCCTGCGGGGGTTTTCCGACAGCCTTGGCAGGAGCAGAGACGAGGGAACAGCTCCTCAGAGATGGCGACAGGTGGTGAGAACAGATCCTGTCTGTCACTGTGGCAGCTGGCAACAAGCATTCCAGTTCTGGGGAGAAATCCCCTTCCTTTTGGCTATGGTGCGGGGGGTACTGCGCACAGCGAAGCAGCAGCAGGTCACCAGGGTGGGTGTGCTGGTGTCCCCCGGTCTGTGTGCCATTGCTCAGCTCCTGGAGCAGCTCTCCTGGTGATGCTGTGCACAGGCAGGTCTGATAAATACTTGTAATCATCCATTTCAATGCTCTCATCATTTTCAGTGGATTGCTCTGGCTCAGACCGAGCTCTAGCTCCTCGCTCCCTTTATGTACTCCACTCTGTCCAGTATGAGACCAAGCTATAGCAAAGTATACCCTGAATTTGGCAACCGTTGGGCTGGATGTAGAGAACAGAAATAGCTTCGTTTTGATGCCTCTTCCCTCTATTATCCTCTTTTCTGAAGTCCAAAAAATTGGCACAAGGTGGTCTTTAGCTGTGATGTGGCTTCCTGACATGGCTCCCTTCCCAACTTGGACAGGGCTTGCTGGCTCTTGCAGCTCCTCCTGGTGCTCTGACCCTAGCCCCTTGCCCTCAGTTTGGACCAGTTTGGAGCAGCTTGGTCTGGAACAGTTCCACATAATTTGACAACCTGGGAAACAGAGTTATAAATAGTACCAAAAGCAGCAACAACAACAAAAGCATTTCCTGTTTCCATCATGCCCTCAGACCTCCCCTGGGCACCCTCAGCACAACCCTGGGTGTCCTGTGGTGGTCCTGGCCACAGCTTCCCGTGGCTGGTGCAGCACTGGATGAGCTGCAGTGCATTCAGGTGTCCCCACTTCCCTGCTGTGCATGCCCCAGAGCTTGGTGTGTCTTCCCTGAAATGCAAAAAGCTCTGATGTTGTGTGCACTGCTGTGCCCAGTGCTGTCTGGGCACACAGGGTGCAGGGGGCAGCTCTGTCCCACCTCATCACTCTAAGAGAGGGGCTGACAGCACAGGATGCTGGTAGAACATGTGAATTTGGATGAAGGATGGGAAGAAGAGAGAGAAATTGATTATTTATTTGGACTAACTCTGTTGATGCATTAAAAGTCCTTTTTTTTTCACCCCTACTGTCTAGGTACAGAAGAGAGGACAAACCTCCTGGGATGGGTTTGTGGAGGAGGGGAGCTGCTGTCTTCCCTGACTTTCATCTCCCGACTGAAATTGTTGATGGGCCTTGTTATCCCCAGATCTAGAAGCCAAATAGAGGGAAACCTGCTACAGAAATGAATACTGCAAGCTGCAGCAATGCACTTGCTTATAAATCAGAGGGGAACAAAGCTGGGCAGAATTATTTGTGCTTTTGACAGACAGTGGTAAATAAGGTCAGCAGTAAATGATGTTTCCACTAATTTTTTTAGGTTTTCACTGTGACATTTTTGGGGGGGTCACAGGTTTTTGCAAATCTCGGTGTTGGAAATGGACATACCATATGAAAAAAATCCTGATTTGTATTTATTTGTATTTGTATATATAATAAGGAAAACTTTTTTTTTTTCTGATACAATGAAATGTAACATTCTATATTTTTATAAAACATTCAACAGTTTTTTGCAATGCGAAGGAATATTGTACCAGGTAATCTGGGTTCCTTCAAACACTGCCAGGCCCATCCTGGAGGGAGAACACAGCTGCCTTGCCCACTGCTGTCAGGAAGAGATTTTCCTCTTCTCTCTTCCTCCCTCCCAGACACGGTCTGCTTGCAGTTTGCCAGCAAAATGTGCATTTGCAAGCATTCCCTGGCACATTATCCATTTCCCAAGTACGTATCCATCACTTGAGTCATCTCCGTGACTAACATCCCTCACTCTGTTGAACACAAGAGTCAAGGGAAATCCAAGTTAAAGCAAACTAATTAATAGCCTGAGACAGGATGGTGCTGCAGGGAACCTTTCCAGCCCCCTCTTGCCAGATTATTTCTGTACTGGAGCACAACATAAGGAATATTTGTCCCCCCTGAGGCAGGATTTGCTGTGGTTTTCAGAAGGGCAAGTGTCAACGAAAGACAACCCCATTTGTGCTGGTAACTTGTGTCCACTGAGTGATGGATTTTTTCCTTTTGGTGATGGATCTCATATAAGATTCATGAAAACCAGGCCTTGAGAAAACCCATGTATGCTACTGATTAACAACCCATAGGAAAACTGGCACTTCAAAAAAATTAGGTTGAATTCAATGGTAGATGACTATGACTGTTAAAATAGCAATGAGGAGTGTGCTGGAGATTGAGGCCAGGCAGCTCAGAAGAACACTCAGACTGTCCTGCATGATGCCATTCAGAAATTTCTCTTGGTCCTGCTTGAGAGGGGCTGGGCACAAGGAGGTGACCACTGTGTGACAGGCTGTCTTCTGGCCAGCTGGGTGAACTCCATCCATTTACTTCTACACTCCCCTTTCTTTTGTCGTTTTTAAATGATGGGAAGAATTAGTGTTCTGGCTGTGCTCCTGAGCTGCAGTCAAACATAAAGGGTGAAAAGGACATCCCACCCACTGTCAGGAAACCCTGGCTTGCATTTTTGCTCTGGTGAGGAGCACTGGAGGGGATCACAGTGCTGACTGCACACCTACAGCTTCTGCCTCATACAAGGAGTCCTCGCTTCCAAACTGATCCGCTTGTCCCTGCAAGCAGGGCCCAGTACCAGTGCAGCTACTCTGCCTGCCTTTAATCCAGTTCAGTAATACTGGTTTCTGCTGTTTGGCCTCACTGGGAAGGCAGCACAAGGTCAGATCTGATTCCTCCCCATCAGCAGGAGTTGCTGCCTGCACACAGGACATGCTCTGTAGCAGGTTGGTCAGACACAGTGCCTGTAACCCAAAATGGCCATGGGATTTAATTTCAAGTAGCAGAAATCAGAGCAGTGGGAAGTGGAGATGCAAGGGGCTGACGTGTCCCAGTGACCACTGGTGCTGGCTGCAGCTGCCCCATCCCATCAGTCAGGTCCAGCTCCACCGCCCGCACTGTGCCCACAAGTGGGATCTGAAGTGCCAGCGTGGCTGTGGTTATTTCAGGATGATGCCAGCTTGCATTAGACTTCTGTAAGTGGTGTTATTTAACATGCTGTGCACAAGGGTGGGCACTGGCCAACCTGGCAACCCGTGGCCTGAGGTTTTCAAAGTTGTTCTGACTCTGATATTCCCTTGGGATGAGGAGGTTTGCTGGTTCAGATGGCTCTGCAGACACACAGGCATGTTTAACATGAATGCAAAAATCTGGGAATAAGCCAGTAAAAATGTCTCACCATGGACAAATTAAAACCAGAAGGAAAGGCATTAATGGGGAGGGCAGATTAGCTGGGCAGAGAAATGAGCAGATAATCAGGCAGAGTCATTTCACCTCCAGCAGAGTGTGTGCATCCATCTGCGATGAACATTAAACATAAAAAGGCTTTTGGGAAAGAGGTTGGAGGAGGTCTTGAGAGGCAACATGTTTCTCCTGGAGCAAATGGAAATGACAGAGAAAGAGAGAGGTGTTGGGAATTCTGGGGTAATACCTACCTGCCTCAGACCAGCTTACCTCTTTCCTTCCTCTCCCTTTCTCCTTGTGGTATGGCACTCAGGATTGGTGCCATTTAGCCACCCTTAGCAGGTAAATAAAAGTACAGGGGAAAGAGGACAGAGGGCAATTTTAGACGTTTTTTATTCTTAGCGGGTGAATATCATTGGAAAAGTGATTTATTACATCCTGATTTTTCACATCACTACAGAATTCCCTTCATCTAGAGATGAAGGCACTTATGGATGAAACACCAGCTTGAAAAGGCTGGACTTGTCTGGATTCCCACCTTGAATTTGAGTTTGGTAAAAGAAAGGCATCCCTCCAAGGTCTCAAAGGTTAATAGTTTGAAAGGATTATTCCCTTTGCAAAACAATTTTTTTTTAGTCAAAGACAGGTAAACCAGAACTAGCTACCTGTATAGCATACCTGTAGTCTGGGAATTAGGGAGAGTAAGACTTTAGGGCCTCCCTCCTGTGAGAGCACCACAGGCAGTCTGGTGACACAGGCCACTGTGTGTCTTTTCTCTGACTTTACCGTGCTCTCCTGTGTGTGTTCTTTCTTAAAGCAACCACATAACATCCTGCAGAAGCGCCTGATGGAGACAAATTTATCCAAGTTCCGAGGCAGCCGAGGCAGCTGGACTCCGAAGGGCGATCTCTCATCACAGACCAACAAGCTGAACCAAACCAAACTGGGCAGCTTGGGCAAAACAGAGGATGAAGAGCTCATAGCGGTGAGCTGCCAGGTAATAGTCCCTCCACAGCCTTTAGTGGGATTTTTTTTTGCTGTAGATTTTATTTCCAACAGTCTCAGGCTGTGCTCTTGTTCTCTTGTTTCCCAGTCAGGTTTGTGCTCCCACAGGACTGCCACAGCCTTGGGGATACACTCCCTCTGCAGCTCCAGGCTGCTGTGGCAGAGATGCCCACCTGGGAATCACAGAGAAAACTGGTCTGATGGGTGTCTTCCCTTACACATCAGGGTGGAGGGGATAGCTAGGCTGGGGCAGCACGCTGAAATGCTGGCATGTAATTATCCGTGGCAAGTCCTTTTGCTCACAGCCTGCTTGTTTTCCTCTAGTGCCACCCCTATTCTCTTTGCCCAAGGGTAATTTCACATTTCTCTTCCTTAGCCCCACGCTCATTTGTATTTCCCACTCTCCACAGTGTGTTCCTTCCTGCCTGGGGCTGCTCCATCTGCTCTCTGCAGGGGCAAATGAGCCAGGAAGGGCTCAGGACCCTACACACATCTGGGCGTGCAGGGGAGCAGGGATGATCTGGCATGAGAAGAGTTCATGGGCACCAGAGCTCCTGGACACTCTGGTGCTCATCCATGCATCCCACACATCATTTCCCATCCCTTCTTAATCTTGCAGTGTGCGGGGAAGGAGCTGAAGGCCGTGGTGGACACCGGCTCACAGCACAACCTCATGTCGTCCGCCTGCCTGGACAGGCTGGGGTAAATATCTGGCTGGATTTCTGTTCTGCAGGAGCATGGAACCCAGCAGCACAGGCAGTGTCCTGGGGCTGGGCCTTTGCTCGTGTCAGTGATGGTCATTCTGAAGAAGGGAGTGCTTTGGGCTGTGACTGGGCAAGCCCCTGACCCTCCTGTTACAACCAAATCCTGTCCCAATGCTAAGAGGCAGGGAGATGGAATAGAAAGCCACTGGTACCATCCTATACCTGAGGGAATCCCTTCAGACGGAACTTTTTCACTGCCTGCTTGTCATTCAGTGCTTCATGAAACAGCTGAACTTTCCCCAGAATTTTGTGTCCCCAGGGCAGGCGTGGGGCTGCAGCCCAGCCCAGCTCTGCAGGCTCCCGTGGCAGGGCAGGGACCAGGCTGCTCCACATGCCCCCAGCCAGTGGCTGCAGCTCTGCTGGCCCAGCACCCAGTGTAAAGAAGCTGTGTGCATGAATGTTCTCAGAACTGTGTGCCTGATGCTGCTCCCAATTACAAATTTCTCCTGGTTAAAGGGAAAGAAAATGTATTTATGGATTATTAGAGAGGTGACTGACAGCCATTTGCAGCAAAACTCTCTCTCATCTCTCCTGTGAGTATCAGCTCACAGGATATCAAGGAGGCTTTGGCACGTTATTCCCATGGAATCATTGCTTTTTGCAGCTATCTTGCAGTAATTATGAAAGAAAAAAAGAAAATTTGCACCTGCTCACTGAGCACTACTGCAAGGCCCTGAATGAATGGTGCCTGTTGCTGTGCTAACATTAATTACTTTGCACAATAGTGCTTAGTGCCTGGAAGGTGGCTGTGCTTAGGACAACCTTGTTACAATCTGTGGTGCAGCTCAGCCAAGCTTAGGATGGCCACACGATGGCATTTGGAGGGATTTCATGCTCTGGGACAGCTCCTCTGCTCCCTGTGTTTCTCACATGTGTCTGGTGCAGTTCTTGCAGCGCTGCCCTGCTGCAGCAGCCCTGTCCTTCACAGAGCACTGAAGAAAGAGGCCAGAGCCTGTTTCTGCTGCCCAGGTCTCAGAGGATTCGGTGCCTCAAAGCAGCACTTGTGTGTCTGATGCTCAGGCTCAATTCCTCCCTTCTTTTTCAAAAACTTTTTGTGTCTTGTCATGATGCCAGTCACTCCCTCCCCCTCACACCGAGGAAAGCAGTGGAGAAAGCTCACGGGTTGCCAGTATGAGAAATCCCCTGTGGAGCTGTAGGAGGTGCAGGAGGTGGCCAAGGAATTCATAAACTTCTGATTGACAGGTTCCTACTGATTTTTAAGGCCAGACTCCAAGGAGGCAGCAGAGAGGATCCAGCTCCTTTTCCCCCGTTACCCCTCCCAGCAATGCCCACCTCACTCCTGGAACCTCTGAGGGCTCTCCCAGGACAGATGGACAGACAGACACACAGACATATGCACTGCTGCAATGCGGCTCAGCAGAAAGGTGCCTCAATGAGCTGAAAATTGATATGGCTTTTATCCAAGGGAGAGATCAGTGCCTCAAAAAGCCTTTCCATTAGATTCTTGTTCAGTTTAAAAGAGAAACTGAAGCTAAATAATTAATTAGTATTGCCAGGCTGGTTCAAAGGGTGCAGATAGAAGCTGTACCTGAGGTATCTCTGACATCCTTTTTTCTTTTCTTTGGGCTGAATGTGATTGATCTGTCCTCATTTCCTCTGAACAAACCCAGCAGCAGCAGCACCTAACAAACTGACAAACACAGATTGGGCTGCCCCAGATGTAAGCCATGTTTAGCATGGAGAAAAGGGGACTCAGGGGGTACCTTTTTGCTCTCTACAACCACCTGGAAGGAGCCTCGAGTGAGGTGAAGAGCGACAGGACCAGAGGAAACGGTCTCAGGCTGTGACACGTGAGGTTTGGGTAACAGGAAAAATTTCTTCACTGAAAGGATGGTCAGGCCTGGGAACAAGCTGCTTAGTGAAGTGGTGGCACAGAAGTGTTCCCAATGGGTGTGGGTGTGGCATCTGGGGACACAGGTTAGTGGTGACCTTGGCAGAGCTGGGTCAACAGTTGGACTTGGTGACCTTAGAGGTCTGTTCCAACCTCAATGTTTCTGTGATTCCATGGGGACACAGTGTCAGCTCCACTTGTGGAAGCTGGAGTGAACTAACCCTTCCTTACACTGCATAACCCTTCCCCACTCTGCATTAGAAGCAATTTTGTGTTTCCCCAAGCCTCGAGAAAATGTAGGAAAAAGATTCCTGGGGTAAAGCCCAAAAGGCAGTACAGAGCTGTGCTTGGGACAGCCCCTGGGCTGCGTTCTGGGTCATGCTGTGGTCTGATGTGGGTGTGGGCTGCTGGCTGCCTGCAGAGCACCCACAGAGAACCTGCCGGGGAAGCAGCTTGCCAGCAGCAGCGTGGTAAATGAGCAAGCTAAGAGTGCCCCAGGTGTAAGCACCCTCCAAACACCATTTGCTCCTTGCTGGAACAGCCAAGCCATGGCCATTTGATGTTAGGAGAGTTTTCAATGCCCACAGGTTAAAGGAGCATCTCAAAGCACTCCCTGTCGAAGATGAGATGGTTTCGCTGCCAAACAAGGTGAAAGCCATTGGCCAGATCGAGTGTCTGTCCCTCACGGTGGGAGCGGTTCCTGTGGAGTGTGCTGCCCTCGTCGTGGGTGAGTGTAGAACCCTCTGGTCTTCCACTGTGGGCTGGGGTCTACTTCCTCTTACCCCAGCAGGAAAAACAAAGCTCTAGAAAGATGTTAAAATTAAAACACGGTAAGTTCTTGTTTGGCCCCCCCAGAGGGAAGGGGGAGGATGTGTTCAGCAAGCTTGGCTTTGCCATGCTGATGGAGCAACCGCTGCATCTCCCTGCAGGCACATCCACCTGCCCTCCTGGGCCCTCCTGTTCTCCTCTGGAGCCAGTCCCTTTATAAAAAGGGCTTGGTTTAGCAGAACAACCACAAAGGGAGGAAGGATGGAGTCACTGACAAAAAGCCCAGGAGTGAATTTTAAATGTATAAATCTGAATTGTCCTGTTTTTTTCAGAAGACAACGAGCAACCCTTTTCCTTTGGGCTGCAGACACTGAAGTCTCTAAAGGTAGGAGTTAGGAGTTTTCCAGCAGCAGGATGCTTACCTGTGCTGACAGAGGAGCTGGGACCACTCTCATTTACAGATTTCTCTCTTACCTAAAGACATTTATTCTCTGCAGTGTGTCATAAACATGGAGAAGCACCACCTCATTCTGGGGCAGATGGACAGGGAAGAAATCCCGTTTGTGAGCATTGACAGTGCTGAGGCAGGAGAGCAGTAAGTAGTCTGGGGAGGTGAGCTGCATGTGCATCCCTCAGTCTGCTGGCAGTGCCCCCTGGCAGGGCCACACAGGAGCTGCCAGGACCCTTTGCTGGAGGAGAGTGAGAGGTCAATGGCCCCAGCAGAAATTGTTTTCATCAGCTCATCAAATTTTGAAACAGAGTCCCTGGACTTTTTGGCAGCCTTTGTCAACTTTTACTGCTTTTTTTTCCCTAGTAAACATTGTACATCAAAGCGGGTGTCTGACAAGACATGCACAGGGGAATGCCTTAGGAAATGTACTTTTTGGAGGTCACTAAGAAGACTCCTTGAGGCCTGCTTTGACAGTGTTCGCAAACAAACCTTTGTCTGGAAAATATTTATGAAGCAAGGCCAACAAACCCACATGAGTGTTTGAGAGAGAGATCCTGTCTGGAGATAATGGTGTTGCCACTTCTCCCTGCATTACCCCAGCAGCCCTCCTGCCACCTCTTCCTGGTGTCCCAGATTTTTCCAGCCTTATCTCCCTAAAGAAAGATAAATATGTGCTGTACCTTTCAAATGTATGTAGCTGTGGTGGCTGGCTCTGCAGGCAGGCAGGCAGGGCAAACCCCCTCCTCCCAGGCACTGCATGGGGCTCTTTCTTGCTGAGTGCTGTGAATAAGAGATGTATCACTGATTCCTGCCTCTGACTCACGAAACCGGCGGGCACCGAGTGCCTGACGGGGGTTTGCACTTCTGTGCCTTCGTAGGCAGCGCTTGTGGTTGCTCAGCGATGAGCAACCTAAAAAACGTTTGCTCACCGCTCAAGAAAGCGTGTCTGGTGGCTGATGTAGGTCAGCATCTTCTTCAGCTGCACATTCCGACCAGCCCCGGGGGTTTGGGGTGTCCCGCAGCCCCCTGCAGCTCAAACCTGCCGTGCTGGGAACTGCCGAGCTCCAGGAGCCTGGGAGGGAGCGGGGAAGCAGGGGAAGGAGCGCACCTCCCTCAGCTGGCTCTATCCGTGGGCATCGGGGGGATGCAGGGGGGATGGATGGGCTAGCGGGCGGTCAGGATGGGAGCGCAGGTGCCCCTGCTCCGTGCCCAGCTCACCTGCCTGCCCAGTGTCCGGGACAGCTGATGGCCCTGGGTGCAGTGTGTGAGCCCAGGGACAGCACTGTGGGGGACACAAGACCCCTGGCTGGTTTCCCTGTCTCCTTTGAAACAGAGATGTGAGAGACGCAGCGTGGTTCTGTCGCCGCTGCAGTGATAAATTATTTCTTAGTACTGCTTTCAAGCCCAAATTATGCTGCTTTTTTTTCCTCCCCCCACCATGAGGAATGCCTGTTTTACTAAATGTCTTTTCCTTCCACTTTCAGCAGTTTGGAGGCATAAAGAGGAGTTGAAACGCCATCCCCACACAAGAGCTTGATATCAAAGAAATCCTGTGCAGCTGTTCCAGATGAAACAGCAATGCGCTGCTTTGAAAACATTTATACTAGGCTACAGCTTGAGTAGAGCTAAATGAAATCCTGTTTGTAGCCAGTAATTTAGAGATATTGTCATGTTTATCTATGGGTTTTGAGAAACAAACTTATTGTGCTTATTTTCTGGACTTTTCTATATAGTGTCCTCTTTATTACAAACAGTTGGGAAAACCTTATGAATTTCTTCTGATGATAAAAATACTTTTTATAGTGGCCTCGTATGAGTAATTGTACTTAGCTGTGATTAGAGGCTATTAGAATGAGATTTTTATTAATGATTTTTCCAGGGGCTAAGCATTTATATTCACTTAATTGATATTGCCACATTCAAATCACCATTCCCAGGAAGTTTCTCTGAGTGAAATAACAATGTTAATACCACCTAGGAATTATAGCTCATCCTGTTAGCATAGTATTGTTGCCATGTAATTAGGGATGCAGCTGCTGGCCTGATGAGAAAGAGCAATTGCAGAATTATTAATGGGTTACAGGCTTCTCTGCAGTGGCGTGGCAGAAGCACAGGAACAGGGTTTGGGAAGGCTCCCAGAGTGATCTCCCAGTGTGGGGTTGGCACCAGCACAGAGGCTTGAAACCCTCTGAGGAGGGATCCTCTGGGCAAGCCTTGGCTGCCTTCCTATGGGGGTAGTCAAGTAAATCAACCATTACACTGGCCCAAAAAGCAACAAAAGGCACAGAAGTGTGTTGTGTGGAGAGCAGAAGATGCAGTGCCTGGGGTTGCCCCTGCCACCAGGACCTGTGGCCACCCCTGCCCACCCAGCACCCAGCCTGAAGCCCCTGCAGCGCCCAGGCCATGCCTGGTGCAGGTTACTGACTCCAGCTGCACTTCAGTGCTGCTGCCAGAAATGCCATATTTTTTATACCTGTCTACAGATTGCTTGGGTTCTTAAGTACAACCCTTGATGACCCTCAGGGGAGGTGGGAGTTTTTGCCAGGACAAGCTTTCTGTTTGGTTTCACTGTCCTGGAGCAGCAGGGTTGCTGCTTCCTGTGCCACACGATATTGCCTGGGGGAGCCTGGCCTCACACAAACTCAGATTTTCATGTTTTCAAGACCTAAAGAGAATTAATTGCTGGCATCTACTTGAAGAGGCATCTTTAAAATTCAGAATAATGTCCTTGTGGTGTTATGCATCTGCTGACGGCCAGTCCTGCTGCAGCTGGATCCTTAAGGGGTCAGGTTGTGCTGCAGGAGTCAGGCAGCTCTGACTTAGCAAAAGCACTTTGGCCCTGGCATCAGTGGCAAGCACCAGCGGCATTCCTGCTTCAGAAGCCTCTTGGGTGGTTCTGGGTGAGAATCAGAAAGTTTGGTCACCTCATGGCCATTGGCAGCCAGGCTCCTGGCAGCTGATCCAGTGTGTGCCCGCCCCTGCCATCCCATGCCTGCCACAGCATCTCAGCTGGAGCTTTATCTCCTGCAGTGGGTTTGGACTCCTTTTCAATATTGGGTACATCCAGCAAACCTGAACTATCTGTATTTTGAGCTATTTTCTATTTTGGTGATAAGCTTCAGTGCTTTCTCTACATACAATATTTTATATAACACAGTTATAAATATATATATATATTTACAGGGTTGGGCTGCCCAGGGTAGTCCCACTGATGTGTTGTAGAAATATTTCACTAAATATGAAATATATTTGATTATTTTATATCCTATGAGTTTGGTATTTTGGTACTTTTTTCTTTCTGTGCCTATTACTGTGTTAAATGTCAAATTAAATCTAAATAAAGTTACACTGTTATTGCTGTTTATTTGCTTGTATGCTAGATATGATTTTTTTTTTTTTTCAGTGCATGTCTCTGTTAGGAAAAGGATTTTGTTTCACTCTGAAGCCTGTTGGGGCTCTACAGTGCTTTTGGAAATGCTGTTGGGAACTGAGAGAGAGCAGCAGTTGCGATGAATTAACCATGGCAGGCTAAATGGCACACAGCACTTGGCCTAAAGGTGACCACTTGAAATCCCAGCCTTCTGTCGCCATGGCTCTCTCTTCCGAGGGAGGTATGGGATCTTTGAGATCCTGCTGTTTCCAGGTTTACCCTTTGGAAAGCTGTTTTGGTGTTATCTTGCTGGGGCAATGCCAGAGCAGGTGGGTGTGAGAGTCCTTTGCAAACTCTGGAAAGCTGGGAGAAGAAAGCAGCCAGAACATGAGAGGAATGAGTGCCATAGCTGTGTGACCACAGGCAAAGGTCAGGGTCTTCCCCAAAGCTTTGAATCTGAATTTAGGGAGTTCCTGTCTCCACCTGGATGGGCTTTAGGATGCTTCAGCAGTAGTTGAGCTCTGTCTCACTGATGAGGAATTATCCTTTCACCCACTCCAAGTCCCCAGCAACAACCTTTGGTGGAGCAGCAATACTCCACGCCCAGTGAAATTGGCTCTCGTCAATGCTGGGCTGGCATTTTCTCTGAGCATGGAAAGAAACCAGGCTCCAGCAATAAATTGGAGAAAAACATTAGAAGAATCAATGTACAGGCAAAAATAACATCTTGTGCTTCCTGGAGCTGCTACAGGTTTCTAGATTGTATTTGTGATGCTAGAGAGCAGAGTGCCAGCACACACAAATAGAAAATCAATGGGCAAAATTCCATCCCTTCTGCATGCTGGGGCTAGCCCTGGAGCTGGTGGCCCTTCAGAGGTGGCTCCTGTGAGCAGGATAAGACAGGACAGCTGCTATAGGGGCCAGGCACTGACCTCAGTCCAGAGGGATTACAGAATAGGGGAAATAATATCAGATCTTTGTGTCAAGCACTTGCATGGTCACAGGGGTAAAGGGTACAGCAGCTGAGTGCTGCAGAGCAGCTCCACAAGCCCTGGGTGCCCCTCTCCAGCACAGGTGTGTGCCTGTGCCCCTTTGGCAACCTCTCCCTGACAGGGGTTTGCAGGAAGGCCTTATAACCGAGGGACCTGCTACCTCTCGGCAGGTGCTGGGAGCAGAGAAGAAGGCAATGCCTGCAGCCATGTGGGATGAGGAGGACTCAGGAGATAAAGAAAGCTGTGAGAGGATATTGTGAGAAGCCTCTGGGGTGGGGGAGGGTTTTGTTGAATGTTTTATTCAGCTGGTTAATGCCGTCATGCTGCACACAAACATCTCACAGCAAGCACAACCCCCTTCCCAAGCAGCCTCAGGGAAAGTGAGCCAGCTGCTCCTTGGCCAAAGCACTGTCCCTTGTGCTCATGTGGCCAGCAGTGCATGGTGGGATGAAATGCCTTTGCTCCCTCCAAGACCACGTCTTTTTGGTCATGTCTAAAGCCAAGACAAAGCACTCAAAGAAGAAGACATTAAACAGAACCCTGGTGAGCCCATTGCAGACCTTCAAAAGCTGGTGGAACATTCAGCATCTTGATGCTTGGGCCCTTGCAATTAAGATGGCCCATGTGGGCAAGGCATCAACACTCGGTGAAAATTTTAGAGACCTGAAGATCTGGTGGAGAGTGGCTGTCAGGCTCCCAATTCATGCCTGTACTTACTGTAAGTGATGCACCTGAGGGCATGTGGGCAGGCAGCAGCAGAGAAGACCCTCTGAGAGCACCCTGGGGCTGCAGAGTGGGGCTCACCCCACAACCCCACCTCCTTCCACCACATTTGCTGCTTAAGTTCTTCTGGGCTGGCCACTCTGCAGTGAAAAGGCAGAGGCCTTTGCCAGGAGCAGCCCTACAGCCATCACTCACATGCATTTTGGGTCCTGCTGAGATCCACCAACATTTGTTCATCACTTCTACCAACAGAGCAGCTGATTAGGTGAGACCTGCTGGGGTGTCTCTTCACAGTTATCTCCAGGGTAATCTGTTATCTAATAGCTCTCCAGGGAGGTCCTTTTTTACAGGCTTTTCTATTACTGATGATGAAGTGATGCTCAACATGTTGTGAAAACAAATCTAATTCTTATGTCTCAGAAGCAAATAACTTGATGACTTATTTCTATATAAACATATGTCTTGGGGCTGTATATTGCTGGGTTTATTTTATGGGACAAACATCAGCTGAGGTCTTATTGCTTTACCACCTACTGCTTAATAGATGGAGGTGAAGTATCAGGTTTCCATTAACTGAAGGTGTGCTCCTTTTCCTAAGCTGAGATTCCTCTTTTTTTTCTCTTTTCCATGAGCTCTGCACTGCTGGCAGTAGCTCAGCCATGTGCTGGCCTCCTCCTCCTCTGTTAACAAGCACACAGCTGACGAAAGGCTGCAGGCTCTGGAGATGACACTGCAGGTATCAGTGACATTTCACCAGAGATAGCTTTGCTGCAAAGGCGATTGATTTAATGATTTTGTTACTAGAGTGGTGCTGCAACCACTTCCCCGGGATGAGATTTCATCACTCCCAAAATGGGTATGAAGACAGTCGACAACCTAAAATTAGGAGTTTAGGAATAACAGGAAGCCACGGCAGCAGGGGAATTAGCTGCGGGGGGGAAAGCTGCGGGGACTTTCTCTCGGCTTTTTGGCAGCGGTCGGATGGATGCCCGGGGCTCGTGGCTGCCCCCGCAGGGAGACGCGGTTGGATCCTCCAGAAAAGCGCCTCGGCTCGCACAAGGAATAGTGGTGTAAAGTTAGGTGCTTATGAAACATCAACCCGCCCAGTACCCAGAAACAGGTGGGGGATCTGCAGAAGGTGGGGAGCTCTTAATGCTGCTCCAGCCGCTTGTGTTCCCCCCGGCAGTGCCAGGGCCGGCACCGATTTACTGCTCACCACCTCGCACCTCTCTTTCTCGGAGAGAAACAACCTCCTCCCTCCAGTGGAGCTACTGCAGCTGAGGAAACCCCTACCTGGCGCTCTGAGCTGCCGCTGGGCTTGTATCGCCTATGGAGCTGCCAGACCCTGTGCTGTGGTACCCAGCTGCTGGAGCTTGGCTCGGGAGGAGCGCAGGGACCGCGGGCTGCGCTGTCCCCGGGCTCGGGCTGGCAGCAGCCCCACGGTGGCACCGGGGCTG